AAGCCAGTATTTGTATTTAAGGGAGTGGAAGAAAAATTATAGAGAGAGCATAAGAGAGAGAGTTAGGGCCGGTTTTTGTTTGTAGGAAAATGAGAGAAGAATGAGCAAATGAGAGGAAAAGGTTGCTTACACCAATGATCTGGTATTTATAGCCCTTTGCTCAATCCCCTCTTAGCTTTTAATCAAGCCTTTGTGTCCAACTTAATTAATCAAAACTTTACTTAAAACATCCTAAGCTTGGCCGGTTTGGATACTTCAAGAGAGAAGTGAGGTAAGCTTTCTTGTTAAATAGTTGATTTGATTCAACTCATCATGAAGTCTTCTAGCACACTCAACTAATCAAAATTTTTAGCTTAAAACCCCTTAACATGGCCGGCCAAGTGAAGGGAAGGGGAGAAATTTTTTTATCATGATTTCTCTTCACTTACCCCCATCAAATCACATATGTCATGATTTCTCTTTACTAACTCCCATCAAATCACATATGTCATGATTTATCTTCACTTACCACCATCAAATCACATATGTCATCCTACCAAATCTTAACCTACCCCTTGTACTTTTGTCTCATCTCTTAAATTTCTCTTGAATCAGATAAAATTATATTGACTGTAAGGAAGTACTTAGCCGACAGGAAATTTTAGTTTCTGACGGTTTCTTTTCTACTGCTTGTTTACAGTTCAATGTTAAATCCTTGACTACTTTGATATCACATTAAATTCTTACTCGCGTAATATCTTGAACTATTTCAAGTCTTGAAATTAATTCTAGACTGAACAAATTCTAAATTTAACTTTTCTGCATTATATTCCGGGAATTACATTGTTTCTGACGGTGTCAACTTCCGAGCTCACATTGTACCATCCTACTATAGGTATTTATCTTGTGACTTTAACCTAGCTGTCTGGCAATTAAGGATTTTCTCTTCTTTTAAAATGTCAGAGCGTTTTTTTCTTATACGCTACTAACATCATGTTGTGCTTTGAGATTCTTGAAATTAAGATTCTCAAACTACATATGTACTGAAAATTCTTCCGTCTTAAAGTACGGCAAGAATTTATCGATCGAATTTACTTGATCATAAAACATAAACTTAGCATGAAATCTGCTACAGAATTTAATAATACAGATGTTAATTTTATAAATCTTTCAGTCACAAAATATAGCATAATATTTTCTATGAAAATCCTTGGCTTCAATACATAAATTGTATTATTTAAAGTCTGAGATTTTCTCAGTCATTACAAATACAAGTTATAAAAACATAAGCATATACCAAGATATCAAGCTTCCCAAACTTGGCTCTGATGAAATCAGTCACAGAAACAACACTAGCTGGATCAGCCACATCAAGCTGATGAAATACGACGTCATCAGAGAGACCTGACTCTTTGATCAGTCTTTCAACAGCTTCAAGACCCCTCTTCTCATCTCTGGCGGTCAACACCACCTTGATCCCTCGTGAAAATAATTGCCTGCATATGTCAAATCCAATCCCCTTGTTTGCACCTGTAACAACAGCATATCTGAAGTGCAAACAATATGAAAACATAAGAAATTAGAGTTTTAAATAGAAAAATTATGCTAATAGCAGTGCAAATAAAATTAATCTTCACCTCTTTGTTGCAAGAAAGTTGGAACATTCCTGCTCTGCTCCATTATTGATGAGAGATTATATTAAAGTGGAAGTGATAATAATTAAAATGGACTTGAGAGATTTCTCTACTCAAAAGGATTGTCTAGCTCTCTCTTTTGTTTGCCAACAACAAGTGCTATATGTAAATATGTGCAAGTATTTAGAGTATTAGAATATTTGGTAATGACCCTTCTATTATAGGCTTTACAGCTGTATTGATCATGACACATAAATATGTACGTTGTTGCCGTCCTTAGCTTTTGTCTAGTTTTACTTGCCTAAGAACAACCTAGTAAATATTCCATTTTCATACTTTTTATGTGAAATATGTATAGTAGTAGCACGTAATTATCTTTTAGTTAAAGTACCGATTCAAAATGATTGAAAATACATCGTATCAAAAGATAATTATGTTAAAATTTATGGTACCAATATGAAATTTTCCCGTTAGCATTTATTTTGGAGATAATCTAAAAATTATTGGTACTATTGTTTGTTAACTTGATAATTTGTTTCTTGAAAACAAAGTAAGTCATATCCATCGCATTATAGCTTAAAAAATTAAAAATTTTACAAAAACTATCACATGCATGAGGTGAAAAATATTCCAACTCCCAAAGGTTTTTAAGGGCAATACATTGAAGAGAAAATTCTGCACTATGTGACTGTTTCTATACAACTCAAATTATCCAGTGATAAAGCATGTGATTACTGTTATATACAACTAAAATTATCCAGTGATAAAGCATGTGATTACGTTCTTTAAATTTCTAAAATTGATTTAAACTTTTATAGTTAGAGACTAAAACTGTCAAAACAATTAAATTCAGATACTAATCGAGCTAACTAAACAAATAATTTGGGTACTAATAAAAAAATTGTAACACCTTTTTCCGTCACTTTCACACTTATTGTTCAAAAATAATAAAGAGAATTTTAACAACAACAACAACAACGAAGTTGGGAGAATCATTGGCTAATTAATCAATTCAATACTAATAGACAAAAATTCAAAACTAATGATATGGAAGGAAAAAAAAACTAATTAGCGAGGGGGGACCATAGTTTTCATCATAGAAAATTTTAAATCCAATTTCCACAACTAAAGCAATGCAATTGGATTACATGGTGGAAAAGAAACAGGTTGATTTTCCATACCAATTAATAAATGTGGCATTGCCAATAAATGAAGTCTTTATTTTTGTCTTTATTTTTCTTTTCACTTTTACCAGAAAAGATCTCAATTTAGAGAAGAAACGATCTGATTCCAAAAAAATCAGCACATAAAAATATTTGTCCATCTGTAACAGAAAATACATTAATAGAAATATGAGTCGAAACGTCTTCTTAATTGGCTCTTCAACATTATTGCGAATAATTCGTAAGCTAGTGGTAGTACTGGATCAATGGGTCCAAGACCATGCAAGTGTTGTCATTCAGAAAAATGACACAACTTGTTGTCTAGAAAAGAAAAGGCCAGAAGTAAGCTCGTCGTCGGGTAGCAGTGCCAACCTCACAACACTTTGAGCTCCTTCGGCAGCAGTTAGCCGGCCGGTGCTGCAAGTCATCGGTTTTGACATAGCCTGGGCACACACTGTTGATGCACATACTTTGGCAATTTTTGGCCACCATCCTTGTGTAGGCATTCTAGGCTGCTTATGAAAGTATGTAGGCTGAGAGATGCTTTGGCCATCCTTTTGTTTCCAACATACCCTCTTTCAAATCCTTTAGAAACTCAGTTATTACCTCATCAATTCGCTCTTCTGTTGGGTTTTCAACATCATTCAAGACTTCTTTAGCCCGCTCATTGGCTATGCACTGAACAAGAAAACATTGAAAAGAATTAATTATCTCATTTTTCTTTCTGCAAACTAAAATGTGCATCTAGTGAACATTGACTAAAATAACCTATTTTATTTACAGTTCCTTGGTACGATTTAAATGAGCAAATGCTAAATCATAACAAAATCAATCAAATAAAAAAAAAAAAGAAGGTTATATTGCATCTCGTTGATGAAATCTTCATATTTTTTGTCTGCGTCACTTAAAAAAAAAAAAAAAAGAATTTGTTTTTATGAATCTAAAACTATAACTATAAGAAACCTTAACATAGCGGTATCATTTTTTTTATGCTTAGTCAAGCTGAAGTCTGCTCTCCCTCAAGTAAAACAAAAACAAAAATAAAAAACAAAAATGAAACACAAAAAACAATAATTAAACACAAAAAACAATAATTAGACAAAATGAAAAAATAAACTAAACAATATATATTAAGGAAGACCTGATATGTTATACCTTCAATGACCCAAGAAAGGAGGAAACATTAACCATTCTTGCCGAATCAGATAATTGGAGGAGCGGAATAAGTGCTTCAACCACTGTTTTGTGCCGTAGTAGTTAGTTTTCAGGCATTCTTCTGCTTTTTCATAGGTCTGAGTCGCTATTTCATTCCAATTTCCCTGCGTGGCTGCATGTATATATATGCAAAGTAGAGTACGCAAGTATATATAATTAGTTAATTTAATTATTTTTTTATGTTCAAGATATATGCATTAAATCATACACATATATACAAGAGAAGGAATGGTTAATGTTAAGAACAAGGGGGAGAGGTGTGGAGAAGTTTTTGGGTGGTGTGGGAGTTGTGTTCTGCAACCTTTTTGGATCCATATTTATAGAAACGAGAAATACTAACATCACTCTTTTTGTCATATTTTTTGTCACTCTTTACATTTACTATTTAACATGTGGAGTGCACTAAAATGATATATCATTACTTAAATAGAAAATGAAATTATATAGTCTATGTATCAAACAGTAAATGTAGAAAGTTACAATAGAAAAAATAATGCTAGCATTTATCAATACAAGACATTTCAGAAATTATATCACTGCTACAAATGCATAGTACTTTTATCAGAATGTGCCATATACCACTAAGTGCCTGTTTAAAAAATGAATTTAAAATAATAATTTAAATCAGAGTTTAAATTTTTTGAAAAAAAATACTGTAACAAAATTTTTTAAATTTAAATTTTTTATAAAAAAAAAACACCGTTTAAACCAAAACCAGCATAAAACAGACGCCTAAGACTCCATACTTTTCTTCTGCAACTCTTTTGTTTTTTATACAGCAAGGCTCCATTATTTGCCGTAATTAATGTATCATTATCGCTTTTCAAAGCACTATCTTTTCTCTCCTTAAGTCCATTCACTATTCCTCACACTCCTTCCACTTTCCTTACCGAACAAGACCCAAACCACAATTTTAATAATGATATCACACACACCACACACACACACACACACACACACACACATGCTGCAAGTAAATTGGCTGCTTTTCCTACATGTCATGAGAATATCTCGTGAGAATGTTGCTTTCTCTTGCATACAGGTTGCTGCTAAATCGTTTATTCAAAGAATTATCTATATCATACAGTACGGATGTCTCATTGCCTCTTAACTACAAGTCAATTTACTTCCCTTGCATACAGATACAAGTCGCTGCTAAATAATTGATTTGGAACAATATCTCTAACATATAAGTTATAACAATAACTCAGATTTATAGTTTATGATTATCTCAAGGAAAGAACAAAGAAATTTTACTAGCTCCAGTCCACATCAACAATAAGATAAACCAAGACACTATTTGCTTGGCCACAGAATTTTAGGATGCGCCCTGCACGCAAACCAGCCTCTAAGAACGCGCGTAATACAACTGAGTTAAGCTTTTATTTTTCATGAACAAGAGGGCTGTAAACAGGGAACCACATATTGCGTGTGACGTATTGTACTGTCTCCTCCTGCATCCAAAAAAGATATAGCAAAAAAATGATTGGACAGATTCAAATTCAAAATTTTTGCTGTATTTACCAAACTGGTATGAGAAGGCTTTGCATAGTAGTAAAAAGTACAAATATCCCCTTAATACTAATGGACCGATTTCCAACTCAGTTCTAGTTCTGCAAAATGTTCTATGAAAATAATGGCTTCCCTCTTTTTAGTAATTAACAATTTGTACTTGTAATCTGCACACTTGCATTTGCAAATAATTACTGATATTTAATAGTAAATCTTTTTATATATAATTCTGAGTCTGGGATTTTTTACTGGGACGCTTTATTACCAACAATTACTTGACCAGAACAAAAATTTAGTGCCTGTATACTGTCGTTAAGTTGAAGTTGAACTGGCATGCTTACTTTTGACATGTGCTTGAGTTCTCTCGGCCCTACATCACCATGTCCTTCAGCCAGTTCTTCTGCAACAGCTGCTCGCACAACAGCCGCTCCAACCTCTGCTGTGATATGCCGGATACTGCACCATGAAATACGTGATCAGCAGGAGCACTTTTATAAACCATCGTGAAAGGTTTAACATTTTCATCACTTTCCAGCAGGAGCTATTAATTTAAATAGATTCGTCCTTGGATAAATCCCACACCACTAGATGGTTCTCAAGGAAATAATCAAATATAAACGTTTCTGTATCAAAAACTTGACGACTGTGTAACAATTTCTTAACAAGCATACACAAGATGCCAGCATGAAACAAGCATGATAACAGCTAAACACACACTTGAAGCTAGAAACCTAAGCAAATTACCTGTTGATAGATGGATACAAGATGCCCATTTGGATCTCTTCATCTGTCATATAAGAGGCAAGGCTGCACAGAGAACATCATCGATGAAATTAATGGGGGAAAATTCTACAAGTAGCTACGGGGAAAGAAAAATCATTTGTGAACTTTTGACAAAATAAAGCAGATTCTTAGCTATAGAGAGACTTTTCTGAACACAAACTAGTGCCTGGTGTAGTGTATTGGGACGCATAACAATAGAAGATTTTCCCTACCATCATGAAAACCTACCACATAACTTACTACAGACTGTCAAAGGTAGTTCGTAAATATCTCCTACGTTAAGTTCTAGTGACTAAGGCGGTGCTACTGCAAAATACGCAATCCCAAAATAGATACTACTCTCTTGAAGAGAACAAGTTTCCACGAATCTCCCCGACAACTGTTATATGTGATTTTAGATTCATGTAAAATAAGGAAAAATAAAAAAATAAAAAAACAAAAGTAGAAGGATGAAACAATACTTTCCAGGTTCATGTAACAAAGTTCCATAATTAAAGAGTAATACATTGATCACATTCAACTCAAGTTCAAGCAAACTCAGAGCACTATTGTTCAATGAGCCAAAACTTTTTCCCCAGTGTTCTGTAGTAGCCCAAAGGTAACAACAAAGTCATAGTTATAACGATAACGATCAGTTTAAAGGAAATAAACGCCAAGGTCTACTTGACTGTAAATCATGTTTTCCAGCCTACATCAGGGTAAAATGGTGCAAGAAAAAAGTAATGTTAATGAAATACCATTCAGAAGCTGCCTGTAACATGCCATCCGTTATAAAACGAGCACCTGAGAGAAGAGTTCCCAAACCAATCCTGAACGAAAGGCAACTAAAAATTTAGCTTGATGTCATCAAGAAATAACCCTACTTAGCTAAAAATTTGAGAAAAAGGAAACTAACCCAGGAAACAGGTACATATTATTGGCTTGATTAACATAGCCTATCTTTCCGTTGCCTGCAACCAAATATACAATGAGAAGAGAAAGTCACAATTGAAACCAAAATTTATGCTGCTAGGATGAAACATTACCTAGATCAACATTTTCAAAAGGGCTACCACTTGCAAAGACTATATTATCCCCAGCATGCTTGAAAGCTTCAGCAGCAGTACACTCAGCTGATCCATAGAATATACATAAAAAATAATGAGTCGTCAATATAAACTTTAGCTTCCATAATGAAATTAAGGCTCGCTGAAGAAAACCATTCATCGTGGGATTTGACATAGAAAAAATTGCAGGTTTAGTTGAATCTGATTCTCGCATTGCCTTAAGCACCTGGTTAAAGTGCAAACCGTTAAAATAAACATACATAAATGTCAAATAGTAAAATGAAACATAACAATTTCAAGACAAAATATACTGGAAAATAATGCTTTCGAAATCATCAATGCATTTGCAGTGTTGTGATAATAGCGAATAAATTGGCTCATAAATCCAGGATAAAATTTGGTCGAATGAGAAAAAGAATGAAATAAAAGGAATAAAGCATATTGTGTTATGAGCCAATTGTCAAAATCAGCAGTCATGTTTCTAAAATATAAACAGACAATCAAACGTCACTTAGAATGTCCAAATAAAAAACGCTCAAAAAATGATGAGCTTTACCCTTTTGATAAATTAGGTTACATAGCCAAGCCAAGTTTCTAATCAATAACAAATTCCAAGCACATTCATATCACCTTCAATAAAACAATCTAGATTTGAAGAGACACAGGATTACAAGATACAGGGAATGCACCAGCTAAGAAACTAAGACGGAACCCACCTCCTCATTGAAAACACAACCAACTCCGGACAAACCAAGAAGCACATGGGGCTTGATTTTTCTAACCTGAAAAAAATTAGCTCATAGCTATTGAAATTTTCATGGCAATAAATGACCTTAGACAAATTAGCAGCAAATGCTCTCGATAAAAATGCATATAAGATCAGCTTTTTACATCAGAGGCAACTTAGAGAAGTTATGTAACATTTACCACTTCAATAAGAGTTGCTCCCTCCCTAAGCCCATCGATCTCTACAGGGTCTTTAGCAAATGGTGCAGCTGCAGGATCAAGATTCTTCCTCTCTTTTGTTACAAGACCCTGCATCCAAAAGTGACGGGTACTGTGATATTAGTGAAAAAAGCTATAATGGATTACATGAGGCATGTAATCACATAATCCTTGGGTAAGAAATTACTAAAAGATGACTACTTGCTTACAGAGAAAGAACAGAAACATACATCTTTGTCAAGCAAAAAGAATTGTTTCTTCGCGGTTGTTTCATTGATGCCTGCCAATCTTGCAGCAGCCTGTATTGCAGTGCTAAGAACACCAAGCCCTGCACTGAAAGACAAGAAACAATAGGTGAGACAAATCCCAAAAAATAAGCACAAGCAACTGATGAAAATGTAACGCGCAAATCTAGTTGCGAGTTCAGCATGGAATCAAGTTGCAATACCTCCCAGCTCCGACTACAACTATCTTCTGTTTCACAAAGTCAGATAATGGTAGACCTTGTGCTCTGACAGTTCCCAGTAGTCCTGCAAGTGCAACTCCTGCAGTTCCCTAAAATAAGTAAACAGGGCTGTCAGATGCACGTATTAGAATCCAAGGGCACTCTGTTTTACAGTAAGTGGTTCATTAAAGATAGAAAGATGTTAAGCCAAGCAATTACTTGTATGTCATCATTGAACATGCAAAACTTTTTACGATATCGCTGCAGCGTCTCAAAAGCCCATTTCATTTGGAAGTCCTCAAACTGAGATAATTGAATAATCATCAGGTCATCAAACAAATAGAAACTAAACATAAAATGAAAGCCATTCTTCTCAAAGAAATAGACCTGCACAATGGCCTTGGGCCAACGTGTGAAAACTGCTTCCATGAACTCATCAACAATTGATAGATACTCTTCTCCTTCCAACCTAGGCCGTCGAAGTCCTAAATCTATCGAACTCAAAGAACGTGAATAGATGTCCTCAAAATCTTTTCTAGAAGATAATGGGCAATACAACTTAATCAGCAGTTTGGTGTAAATTTTGCTCATGAAAAGAAAAGTGAAACACCGGTATCATCTCTTCCCAAGGAGGAAAAGAACAAAAGAACAAGAATCATTCAAAAGGAAAGACTGCTTACAAAGACGGTCTTCAAGGAGCCTCTGATTGTTAGTTCCAACATCTAGCATAACTGGGAGTACCTGTCGCAGATTGACAAAGGTCAGGTAAAAAAGAGATGGCATTATCATTTAGATTTCCAAGAAATTTTGAGAAAAGGACATTAACACACTCCATATCAGTAAACTCGTGTACCATGAATTCATGCTCCTACTATTCAGTGAAGATAGAAACTTTGTTTATACCAAATTTATTGTGCGTATTACACCATATCAAAGACACCCTAAGTATGTTTCAAAAAACGAAGGAAAAAAAAAGAAAAGAAAAGAAAGAAAGACACCCCTATGTACTGAACAAAAGAGAGTTCAAACACAAATGATTAAACACACAGTAACACGTACTCTCTGTGGATTGAAACCGGCTGCAGCAACGTACATATCAAGTTTGCCAATAGGTATTCCAATCCCCTGGACACCAAGGTCACCTAGGCCAAGAATACGGCTACCATCGGTCAGAACTATCATGTCTACCTGCAATATAGTAGGGAAATAAACATCCACTGTGAAGAATTGATGCTTTTAGAAACATAGCAACTCTTATAATGACGTCAATAACTTCTGTTAAATTGAACTTCCAAAAAAAGGAAGCATTAAAAGAAAGATATAACACGTTTATGGCATTTATCCCATCAGGGGGAAAATGATGAAATGAAAGACAGGTTAATTCTTTTCCCATGGACTTTGAGAAAATAGATATCTTTTGATTTGAATAGTAATGGAGGTTTCAGGCAAACATCTAAAATCTCACAAAATCTTCATCATTGCACAACATTCTTTAAAAGGAGAAACAAAAGGGTGCTACATTTAATATGAACAACAGCATACCTGCTGACCTGGCCAATTATAGATCATCGACATCATTTCCCCTTTGTCCTTCGCACTGAAGTACATTCCGCGTGGGCGTCTGAATAACCCAGAGTAATTTTGACATACTAATCCTACAGTGGGAGTGTATATGACTGGAGCAAAATCTTTGATGTTATCAATAAGGACCTGAGAGAAAAGCAACCGGATCACGTCAAATTTAAAAAAAAGTAAAAGAGCTAAGGTTTTTAACATCTAGAAAAGGGAACTGCAACTTACTCGGTAGTATAAAGTTTCATTCCTGTCATGCAATCTATTTAGGATCCTCCATTTGGCCAAGGAAACAGAACCATGTGGTTGGCCTTGTGTATTTTTCTCAAGTGACCGGTATGACTCCACTGGCAAGTTAACAATCATTTAATGTCATGATAAAAATGCCAAAATCATTGTTAAATTATTGGGAGAAAATCTCATCAGATGCTAATAGTAATGGAAAAGAAAAGGAAGTACACATAAAATAGAAATATCAGGTCATCCTCAATGATAGTAAACATATCTTGCAAAATATTCATATTCATTGAACAAATCTGACTCAGTCGTAGTAATTCTGAGATACAAAAAAAAAACGATAACATATCAAATTCGCTGCTTATTTACATTTTGATCTGTGGTAGAAAAGAAAATGATCAGATGAAAGGCAAACGAAGCAGAGCCTTCGAAATATTTACCTCTCCAGTAGTTTTCTATTTAGAGTTGAAACCTCAAATCATAATCTCTTCTTCTATCTGTGTAATAATTTATAACTCCAAATAAATATTTATTAGAATCTGCTCTAAGGGAGGGTTCTATCCAATATTCAGTTCTTGTTTGCTGCTCCTGATTTTTAAACATGTCTGACAATCTTGCCAATCGTCAATGGTCAATATAGAGCAAGCACCAAGTAAGGACACTATTACTGCAGTTTTATTCCACTCCCTCAATAAAATTCAATTAGCCGTAGTACAAGGATGATGTATTTTTAGCTTTTTCTTGCGAAAGAAATGTAATAAAAAACAAAATCAGTAAAAGGGTAGTGTTCCCAACCCAAAAACAAATAGTGGTGCTAAACCCTGCCACAGAAAGTGAAGCCTATAGAAGTAGAAAGCGTAAAAGAAAAAATCAGTAAAAGGGTAGTGTTCCCAACCCAAAAAAAAATAAAAATAAAAATAAAAATAAATAAAATAAAATAAAATTTATGCTAAACCCTGCCACAGAAAGTGAAGTGTATAGAAGTAGAAAGCAGGAAACGTACAAAAGAAAAACTAGGTTGTTAAATAGTATCAGTTGGTTAAAACAAAAATATTTAGGTAATGGCGTCAGTTGGTCAAAACAAACAGCTTAAACGTTCCCTTTACTGCTTTAGCTGCACATGAAGGCCCAAATGGCAGGTTCTTAAGTAAAATTCTATTGGAGCTGCTGAAAGTAAAGTATAATCCTAACAGTCATATTTTTTTGGTACACTGCAAATAGCAAGCACAATAATTCTCACACAATACCAAACGTATTCATCTTCAGAAGAACAGATAACTTACTGAAACGAGCGTATTGCTGCTCAAACGATACGACGCGAGGTGGGAGGAGACCACGAAGCCCTAGCCGATCTCTTTCAGTCAAAGGAAACCCAGTATCCTGCTCTTGCAAAGGGGAAAACAGATTCAAAAACAGAGTGACAAAATGAAACAAATTCATCAATAATCACATTTAAAAATCTGCATCACCCAACTTCACAGAATTACTATCCACACATGAACATGCTCTACCTCAATTCAATATTTCAACTACTCCCAACACCCAAAAAAACAAAAAACAAAAACATGATTTTACTTGTCATTCAGTACATTTCCTCTCTCTCTTTCAAAAGCAAGAACAGTGAAACAAAGAAAAGGAAATCACGAAATGCACAATGTTCCATAAATGTAAGAGTGATGCGTTCATCAAACTACAAATCAAGAGCAAAAACAAAAAATCTATAAACATCAAAACGCCACCACAACCAACAAGTCACAAATCACCAAAAACAAAAACAAATTTCAAAGAAGATAGGAAAAGAAAAATACGACGAAGACGAACCTTGTTGAACCAGGGATCATGGAGAATATCAGCACCGCGCTTATGGACGATAGAGGGACCAGGAATCTCCGTCGAGAACCGCCTCGATGGGCGCAAACTCGACGCGGCGAATCGAACTAACTTCCACATTATAATCTCCGAAAAAATAAAATCAAATCAAGAAAAATAAGTAACCAATAACGAAACAGAAAGTCACAGAAAAAGTTCCGAATCCATTTTATCGGAACAAAAGAAGAATTCAGAGATCAGACTACACAACAAACGCAATGACTTCGAATGTCAATTTATAGTGGAAAAGCACATAATTTTATTTTTTTATTTTTATTTTTCTGTGTCTGCAGAAGTAGTAGAGGAAGTTGAATGAAGCTGTTGGGACTTACTTTGGGCTGTAACTGTATGTGCCAAAATTAGGCCCGTAAAAAAAAAAAAAAACCGAAACCGACCGCAACCAACCGAAAAATTGACCGCTCAAAAATTAAAACGGCGGTGCCACGTGGAACCGAACCACTTCGGTTCGGTTAACCGACAGATCAACAAGATACTCGGTTCGGTTTCGGTTTTGTTGTGGGCTCGTCGGTTAAAACCGAACCGACCGAGGTTTTTTTTTATGTTTTCGTTTTTTTTTAATTTATGTTGTCGTTTCTGAAGAGTGGATGTGTCGTTTCTGAAGAGTGGATGTCGTTTTCACTCTTAGGAATCACAAAACCCTCTTTCGTTTCTCTCAATCTCTCTTCTGCCAATCTGCCTCTCTCTGTCTCTCACTCTCTCTGTTTCTCAATCTCACCCCAGACAGACACCTCCCACCGGCCCACCCACCCGGCACCCACACGACCGACCACCCACCCTCACGCCTCACCTCTCTCACTCC